GTGTGTGTGTGTGTGTGTGTGTGTGTGTGTGTGTGTGTGTGTGTGTGTGTGCGTTTGTGTGAGTTTTTGTTTGTTGCAGTTTTTCTTCTTATGGTTAACTATATTGAGATTCGAATCCTAACGTATAGCGCCATCCATGTACAAACATGTACTTTCACCCACCCCTCTCAGTTTTCTGTTTCACGCTCCATTTTCGTGGCCGGTCGAACCGGGAGCAAAGGCTCATTTTCTATAATCATCTTGAGAAGAAAGGCAAAAATTAAAGTATCGTGTAACAAGGAATAGAGATCGCTTGACATGTGCGTGAGACATAAGACAATTATGTTTGGTAGATCGATGTAGTATCCTTCATGACTGTCATATGGATGGGTGAATCGATAGTTAGATAAATACCCATATGAATAAATGGTGACGCCGATGGACAGAGAAAAGAATAGGAGAATAGATGGGTATGTTGGGGGATACATGGACTGATGGGCGAAAGGGCGATTAGCTAAAGACAAGAATTAGTGAATAGAGATAAGGATGGACGGATGTTTGAATTTTTTAAAAATGTTTTTGCAAAAAAGATATATTCAGGGAGAAATAGTTATATGGGCAACAGGTGTATCGACCTGTGGTTTATTCCAAGGAAAATTTTTCATTTATGTACACTTGATCGGACCGAAACAGAGGAGAGGGTGGGCCCGGGAAAATATGGATAAATGGGGTCAGAGGAACACTAAAAAAGAAAAACATAGCCATGCATAGGCGATACAACAAACTAGAGAAAGACGTATGCTTCCCCTCTCTATACCGCAAGGTAACAAAGGCTTAAATAAGTAAGTAAAGACACTAAATGTTATTAATTTTGTACTATGTTTATGCTATTTAACTTAACTATCCCAGAAAAAATGACTTACACATTTGGTTAATAAATCAGTTTAACATTTGTATTAATGTCAGAATAAAAGAGAATACATTTATAGATTTGTTCTGCAGAAAGACGGCGTGATTAATGAATTTTCGTGTGTAAAAAAGGGGTATAGAGAAGAGGGTGTAGTTTTGAATTGGACAGTTCATGTGTGTTAAAACACAACCTTGACTCAAATTCACACACCATGTCATTACTTGGAAATGCTCACAAAGATATGAAGATCACATATAACCTATTTTGAACGTCCAAAACATCGTCAATTCTTAGGTGAATTGCGAAATATTTACATCGGTATAAAAGTTGTTGTTTATGAAGAGACCACTTCACCTTCAAAAGGTAATCACAGGACGTGGCTTGAAGATATTTCTGCAAAACAAATGGCACAACAAGAGTTTGGAGGCCTCTTGCGTTCCGTCCAAGTGGAAAGAAGCGGAAAGATTTCATACGCTGGAATTAGAGAAACAAGAAACATAGTCAACAAGACTTCCATTTAGGCTGGCGGCTTGTCGTTACCGCAGTTTAAGTGTCTTTTTTATTCTTATTCGTTTTTGTTTGTATAAATAGTAGCCGTGTGTGATGCTATGACAATGTATGTGGTTCTGGTTTGGCTCATCAATAAACCTGATCAGGCGACGCGATGCAGAAAGAGACGAAGAAGTAAACACAGGGGCATGTGCACACTCACTTTAACGCATACGAAGAGTCAGACAGACAGGCAAACAGGCTGACAGAGATACAGCACGTCAGAAAAGCTCGCAGACAGATGAAGTGAGAATCAAGATCAAATTTATCAGGTCGTTCCAGCGATTACTTATAGATCTCGACCAAACATCTATTGGTATTTTTCTTCAGCCTCTCCGCTGTCCCGCTTCCCCACCCCCCTCCCGCCCACACACACCAGTCCTTTCCGGCCAACATCCCTTCTCCTATTCTCACTCCCGAGACTGCCCGCGGCAAAACATAAACACAGCCAGGCCGAAGGAGTCTGGGTGTTCTCCACCCCCCACTACCACCCTTTCCAGTTTGAACGAGATCTACAGAAGATAAATTGCCACATAGCGCTAAATGCTCACACAGATATCGACCGCGCGTTCCTCTCTGCCGGGGTACCCATGACAACCATCAAGACTGATAGCCAGCTTTGTTCTTTAAGGATAAAGAGATTCGACACTTTTAAAAATGGAAATCCGAAACAATATTGTTCAACAGTTCACTGGCGGGAAGAAATCTAATTGTGTTAGCCAGCGAGATGTCTATAGAGAGATGGGTCGTTACTTCGGGGTTCAACTTGAGATATCTTTAAGCACTTCATACTTCACAAGACAGCTCCTGTGTTGATGCTCAGTTGTTGCTAAGCAGAAAACAACAGGTGGGTGCAATCTCTTCCGGGGTTACAGGCTATAGTGACAAGATGAAGAATAACTCGCAGCTCACTTTGCCAGGAAATTTCTCTACTGGAATGAGACAGATTTGAATATCAAGAAATAGCCGTTTATTTCCTATTTCTCTGAAGCCTTGCTTTGTATAAGTATCTGCGTTGAAAAAAGTAATAGCTTCTTGGGACAGAGAGACGGACACACGCACACACATACACACACTCACACACACACACACATACACACACACACACACACACACACACACACACACACACACACAAACTCATTCGTGCTCAATTAGCAGTATGGCAAGGAAACAAACAAAACAAAAACATCGGACAGTGACAAACAACCAAGGAATTAAAACAATTAGTTAACGATGTAGACAAAAATTTAATAAACATGCGTTTGAATCCAGCTAAGGCAAGCTATTTCATCTTTGTACTGAGCTGTTTTAAACCACACCGCCACAGTTGGTTCCGACAGGTCAAACCAGCCAGCCTCGTACACCATAATTTTATTATGTTTTTCGTCGAAGGTAGTGTAATACATTGGCAACCATAATTGGGCTCTAGAATAATTTTACGCCTTAATTTTAGAGGCAGTTAGACATTAATTGTCCCTGCATGTTATAGTTTATTAATATTATAAAATATAATGTTGAGGTCCTTGGGCCAATTCAATTTATAAAAAAATTGTTTGTTTGTTTCTGTCTGTGTTTTGTAAAGTTTTGTTTCGTTTTGCTATTTTACCCATCTTTGGCACTTCTGTGTTCTTGCCACAGTCCTTTTGCATTTTGTGCTGAGCTAGGGAGTAGAAGCTGGAAGGACATACTAATGCAATCAGGACCACTGGAATGAAAAGCAACAATAAAAGATAACTGTAACTAAATTCATGGCAATAGTGTTCAGATGCAATCAGTAACTATGACAGTAATAGATGGTCCATAGCGCAGCGTGCCCCTTAAGATCGATCTCTCAGCTCAGATGGAGTCAATAATACCATTTGGTAAAGAGGGCTCTTCGTGGTTGGGTTGGGTTAAAGATCGGCCAGTTGCGTAGTCGACTGGGTGAGTGCAAGTTACCATTCTCCTCAGCACAAGTAACAACAATAATAAAGTTTTATTCGTACTTTACACGATGCATGGTCCAGTCTGGCGCCGGCATACTATGAATATCATCATATAATATAACAAATAGTCATACTTACCAAAAAATATATGCTATGACGCACTCAGCTGTTTTTTTCCCAAAGACTAACGTGCAGCTCCAGTTTTTAGTTCGCATTTTTTTTTTCATATCAAGCATCTCGTACAAATGAAATACCGGTACTCATCTAATGGTTCCGGTATGATACACACTTGATGAAAACTTTAACCCCCCCCCCCTCCCCTTACACACACACGCACGCGCGCGCCCGCACACACACACACACACACAAAGAGGTAATCTAACACACATACTTATTTTTTCTTCCATCTCCCATCCCTACCCCTTCTATCCCTGGTCTCTCTCTCTCTCCCCATCTCTCTCAGTTTCCCCCCCTCCCCTTTTTTTTCCCTCAAGCATTTTCCAAGATGAAGTTTAAAATCTTTTTTAGAAATAAATGAATACTTACAGACAAGCAAAGCTGGACAAGCGTCCACTCTTATCATTGGGAGAACCTGTTTGACATCAAAGAGTCTCCAGCAGACAGTTATCTGCCCTTTCTCAAACGATTTTGTTGGTGTTTGATATCAGTGGCGAGATTTGATTTTCAGTTTTCGGCTAAATCCATTCGGGCATCATCGGTACCCATGTTTATTAGGGTCTTTGTCGCTGCACGTAGAAGATATTGGTTCGATTCTCATGTAGAAAAGAGAATTCTATTTTTTTTGCTCATTGGAGTTTTTTGTTTTGTTTTCGTTTTCCTTTTTGTTTGTTTTATGCTGTTGATCTTTGTCGTTATTGTTTGCCTTTTCAAAGTAAAAATTATCTTCTTCTGTCCGATGTGATGTTGCGTCCCTCTCATTTCAGGTTGTCTCCAGCGGACTGGGTCTACACAGAATTGAAGTCTCTTCCCCTTCCCTGCTGTACTCTCTGAAACAGAAGATGTTATTGAAGTTTTTAACAGCTACAAATTGAGTGAGGAGTCTTGGTGCTTCAAATTAAAAGCTGCAAGGGAAGCATGCTGGTTACTGGGTCCATAGGGACTGAGTTGGTATCTGTTTCCCTCTTTTGAAAAATTGCTTCATTATTTTAAGCTCAGACATTGTGTTATGAAGCTGATGGCCCATTCAGTGCTTTCTTTCTCTAATTCTAAACCTAGAAAGAGTTTCATGTTTTGTCTGTTCAGAGAATGGGACTGTGAACAAGAAATGAACTGTTATGTTTGCTTGTGTTTTAGTTGGGGGGGGGGGGGTAGATCACTTTTCTTTGTCTTTTGAGAAATCTATTCAGCGTCTTTTTAGGTGGGAAACTTTTCATCAGGAGCTAAAAGAAAAATCTAGACTCCTGTCACTAACACATGAATCTTGTGCCAGTCAAAGAAAGGAGCCGGATAAGTAATATTGAGTGCACAGATTTTTTAGTATAACCTTTGGGAGAGGGTTTGGTGGCGGGGCGGTGGGTGCGCTCGTCTCCGAAGCGGAAAGTCCGGGTTCGAGCCTCTGTCCGAACACGGATTTTTTTCACCATCTCTTGCCCACCCAGCAGTAATGGGTACCTGACTTCGAGTTGGGGAAGTAAAGGCGTCGTGGAAAGGAACTGGCCACCCTACCAAAATATGCCGAAGGCCCAGGATGGTGTCTCACTAACAAGCAATCCCCAATGTCTGAATCGGATGGAGGAACAATATATTTACCCCTGCGTACAAATGGTTAAATTGGCTCCTCGGGTAAATCCCGTTTCTTTACTTACTTATCCTCTTTTATTCACGTCTATCCTTATCAGCTTTCCCTACGACTAACGGCCGTTACACATGTATATTTAATACACTTCTCCTCTTTGCTCACACTAAACTAGCCTTTAAAGCCCTCTAAAACTTTCACCTCCGGGAATTGGTAACCTGCTTTTTGAACAGCATCGAATTCACAACCTGAAGAAAATTCCAACAAAGCCTGATTGCGACGTATGTGTGGTTTATTACCTTGCCAAAAGGAAATCATCTCAAACGCCATAATAAGAATAAAAACTACCAGTTTGAACAAAATGCCTTAAAATAGGCTCTGTAAAAATCGCGCAAACGAGACAGATTCACACATAATATTGTGTACGTCAGAAAAAATAAAGAGCCCAGAAATTAGCTTTCATAGAAATATTGTTAAAAGTGGTACCTGGAGCACGTCACTTTTCGGTTTCAGTAAGTCACAGTTCACGTGTGACACACAGTGATGTTGGTGTTTGGTGCATAGGTGAGTTGCTTCCAGTGTGTGTCATTGCACAAGACATCCTAACGCTAGCTAAAGAAACCAGGGTGCTGCACCCATAGCAGTGGTAGAGATTCTGTCTGTGATCTGATATAACGCACACACACACACATACACACACACACACACACACACACACACACACACACACACACACACACACACACATACACACGCGCGCGCCATGGTGTCTTAACATGTAGGCCTTTGAGCTCATACTTTAAAGGCCATGGATTTGATTCCCGCTTAGGGTCCGACGTTGTGTCCTTGTGAAAGGTACTTTACACGAATGTTCCTCCCTGGAGTGGGAACGGCTTACCCAGTTATTGGCAGTGAAAGTTCTAGTCAGTTTTTTAGTGTTTGAGCGCTTAGTCGACTGCTTGAACTGCTTGCTTCCATAGAAGCTGAGAATCATTCTGGGTGTCCTCGGGCCTGCTAAGTGAAGAGCATAGTTCAAATCTTTGAAGGTTGTACAGTCACGTTTGTAAAATCAGAAAAAAAATCTGTTTTATATCTGAATTGACTATGAATTGCTTTAACGATTTTGGCAACAGGACACCGATGTATCAGAGTGAGCTAGACTACTGATGGTAATGGATCATAGAATCTAGAAAAGGGGAAAGTATAAATAGATAAAAGTCGACGCCAGTAGACAGAATAGAATTTCAGAGTCGTTGCTGACTTTGTTTTGGGAGATTTTCGTTTGAAACATTGTCAGCCTGAAAAGGAGCCGTATATATTCATAAAAGGGGTATTTACATATATAGTATATTCCTTTCATTTTAGGCTATTACAGCAAAGAAGGTTTGTTTTTTGTCGTTAACTCTCTCTATAGGATCACCTGTTTCCCGAACCTAGAAGACAACAAAATCGCCATCACTAACGGTGTTAGTTTCAGGTCGAAATATTGACCAAACAGTATAGAGATTAACTAGAAAAACAGTTTCAGATAACATCTTGAAAACTCAATTTGCAAATTGATAAAAGTTAACTCTGAGTTGCGAAGTGGTAAACGTCTTTGCTATCAACACAGACAGAGCTTTACAGGAGCAAAAAAGCAGTTATTCAGCTTTCTGTAGATGCAAAGACAGGTTTTTGTTAAACCAGTTTTAATCGAGGTTTGTATGGAATAAAGGCGATTTGGCTAGGAGTATGGGGCTGACATTTCTGCATCATTTTGTGTTCGGTGAGCCCTGACCCAAGAACATAAAGCATCAATGATGCTAGTTTTGGCAGCCAATAAGTAGTGGCATTGATCACCGGTTCTTATATTTTCGTTTTTGATTTACATAGGAAAGATCGAAGTTGCATTAGTGACTTTTGCCCAAGGTGGTGTTTTAAAGCATTCATATTGTTAACTTGATAAGGTTTCGTCTGGCTTAGGGATATTATGAATTTCGTTAATCTCTGTTTCCCACTTGGTCTATATTTGCAAACAGCTAAGAAAAGCTTCTTCTCCATGAGATGTCTAAGACAAGCAAAACCATCGCAAATGATTCGTCTAATTTGTTTATTTTATTCGAATAGAAGAAAGGACCCCAAATACCAGAAAAGGAATCTCAGAAACGACAATTACGTTTCGTTGAATTTTACATCTTTCTCTTTGGTACTCTGTTTTTCGCTTTTTATTGGCGATCTGATAACTGAAACGCCGTTTGATTCTTTTTAATTTTGTCTCGGAAGCTGAAGCAGACTTGCATGTGTATATTTTCTTTTTCGTAGGTCCTCTGTACCCCC